ATTCATCATGATAGAGGTTGTGAGTGGTAAAAACTAACTTTGTGACCAAATGTAAAAAAAAAACACCTGCAAGGCATCTGTTGCCTCATTCTTAGGAGATGGTGTCTGTTATGTACGTGAGAGGGGTGACCTGCAGATGGTGCTGCCCTCTATGAGGCTCTCAGTGAAGACCGAACAATTACACCTGCGACTCATTCACTTGGTGCAGTTTCAGCATACACATGAATAACGTCTCCTTAAATGCATCGAACAAATGGTTTAGTCGAAGGAATGCACCACAAAGTGTAGCATTTTGAATGTAACAAGACTTTGCCCTTGAAAAAAATTGTCACTAGATTGGCAGTAACTGACTCATCCCCATCCAACGCAGGCTTCTGATATCTCTCCATCTGATTAACACCACCTCTTGACAGTAAACAGTCAAACACAACGTGGACGGACGGACAATGAAGGTGAAACCAAAGGTGACGTGAAAGTGGGGCAAGATAACAGACTGGACTGACGTTAATTTTTCCTAGAAACCTTACAATTGCTTAGTTTTGGCATCCAAAAGCATATTCACTTAACATTATGTCGGTTTGGACACATGATATGCTGCATTTGGTGGCGCTTAGAAAATCATTTGGATTTGGTTGACATCCACACGAAAGCGCAGTTATAGTTTTATTACTCGCACATTATTGTTTGTCGGTTTGCCAAATGAAATAGGGGTAGATTTTCACTTCAGACTGTGCATAGTTGTGAAACAAATAATTTCGACCAGCCAAAAAATGCTTTGTCGAATGATTTGTAACAACAGCGTTGGTGTTTTCGCGCTTTCACGTTCAATCGCCGTTGCCTCACTAAGGCCAAAACGTCTCCACCGAGGTTGATGATCAAAATAACTGCTGGATCATACATACGGGATGGTCGCCTTACAAATGTTTTCTCCTGAGAGAAACGAGCGCGTCGAAGATTCGCGTCCCCTTTCACTGATTTTATGGACTAGACATACCTCCCATTAAGTTCATCAAAGCCTTACCTTTGAGTCGGTGGGGCTTCGTCGACCATTCTGAACAGCACTGGGTGTGTAATTCATGGAGGTGACGAATTTTAGACCTTGAGGATAGGAAGGCATCTCAGTATAGGCATTGGCATTTTCAGATGGTGGAATGTATGGTATTTCGTTCGATCTTCCCTTGATCTGTTATTGGAAAATCAGTTAAGTTCAACAGTTGCTTTGCTTAACATAACGTGCTGGGACAGTATAGGGCCCCTCCTTGAACTACTTCCCGAAATTCAGTTGCATAAATGTGAGTGAGCACTTTCTTATGTTTGCTGTAGGTGATTTGGGCTGAAGCAGGTAGAAGTCACCGCGCATAAGTGAGGCACTTGCTTAAAGCCGCTCGTAGGATCCGAACCTAGCTGTCTGTTTGCTAACAAGTTGCTGCCTAAAATGCTCTAAAATGCACTTCCAGCTTTCATTCCTATTTGTCTCAGCTTCACTCACTCAGCTTTTGGTTGTGCGCAACCCGCTGACTTCTCGGAAAAACTCTTCACTAATTTGTTTAGCTAATGTAGCGTGTGAACGCTTCCATTGTGATGCGATTCCTCTTCGTGTAAAAGAATACTGCTCCTAGAAAGCAATGCCTACAATATTGTACCAATTTGTTTGACTTGGCGGTGAGATCATGTTATGAACTTCTGGGTGCACATGATTTGCATGCGGCTGTCGAATGCTGACGAGGTGCATCGCCACGTACCAAAATTTGTCACCCTCTACCAACGTACCTCTCTCACCAGAGCACATATTGCCTCAAGACACGTCGTAATCGCCGCCACTGTGCCGTAGATGAAGAGAATGCGATCTGTCGAATTGGGCAATTTGTGTCGTGTAATTTTCAGCAGGGAACCCGTAAGCTGAGAAGAATGGGCAACAGGGTTGGTGTAGTGCAGCCATATCGGTAGTACTGTGCATCAATCAAGTTTTACCAGATAATATGAAAGTGATGCGCCTAACGTCTGATTGAAGCATCGCCTTTATTTCACCATCAGCGTCGACCACGCGGGTGTGTCGATGTGCTGAGTATGGAGCACTGTATGATTTGCGGATGCCAAATGGATAGTTTTTGAGCATTTTGAGAAAAAAAATTGAAGAAGAAGGTGCAAAATCGTTCTTAGTTTGCACTACGGCGAACTGCTTAGGATGGTTCTTAAGGTGAGACTTCATTAAAATTACCCTATTTAACGAGTAGCTTTACCTGCCTCAGCTTGTGAATGCTTTCCCCGTGTTGGCCAATCAGGGGTCCGCAAAGCGAAGTAGGCAGCAGAATCCGAAAAATGAATTTGGGAACATTCGAGATATTTTCCACTGCCACACATTCAGCGTAAATCTGCTTGAATTATAAGACAACTCATTAAAGACACTGCGAAAAGCTTGTGCCTTGTTCCTCACCATAATTGTCCACTTAACTCAAGTGGTATTTGTTAAATTCACTATACCCACACGCTATAGAAATGCTCACCACAATTAGATGCTTTGGAGGAACATTTCCAGCAATTAAGTGTTACTATCCTTGACCATAGTGAGCAACTGTCAGTCTAAATCATCTTATGAAAGATGTAATTTTTACTGCTTTAAAAATAGCTCATTGTGCTTAAACAACAATGTGTATTGTTGGCACGCCGGTCGACAGTTAATCGGTTGCGCATTTTGTACCCACTATGCGTCACCAAGGAATGTTAAAAAGCAGAACTTACCCAAGCAAATTCTCGACAAAAGAGCTTAATAACATGAATCACAGCCGACATATTTCCGGAGATAGAGACGATTCTCTCCTTCACACCCCTGTCCGACACCTTTATTTTTGCTCCGCTCTAAAAGTGAGAGCCATCATCAAAGTAGGCTGTAAGCATGAAACCTCGCCCATTGCTAAAATTCACCTCAGCCCTATTACACGTTCATCTTCAAAAAGGGTGGAAATTGCAGACCACTTTGCACTTCAGAATGTCCGTTCCACTTCAGTACGATTAAGATAGGTAGGCTGTTGTTCGAAAATATCATGTTAAGCGTTCGACAAGGGCAATCACATGACCAATAGGATGCAACTGTGCTTGAACCTCCTTGTTAGAGCAATTGCTGTCTAACAGCGGAAGCCTCGCCTTTAAAAACTCGTATCTCACGGGGTTCTACTATGACGGATGTAACTACGTCCACAAGCAGGGACAGCAGAGATGGTTGAAACAAATTGC